AAACTGCTTGACTAAATGTTCATTATTAACATCTGGCATGTGTACCTCAATTATTTTTTGACTACTATTGGAAATTTCCTTCATAAGAATATCATTTTTATACCAAATATAGACATGTATTTGTCTAGGTTTGGTGTCTACCGCTTCATTTAAAATTGGTATTCCTTCATGTTTCCTATTTGATATTGAGTGAGAAGAAGCTCCTTCTTCTGGTTCTGATATGTCTAAGGCAGAAGCTTCATTTTTATCTATGCTTAACTTCAATGTCTCCGAATCTGAATCCGATATGTAAATTATTTCTTCGTTATCTACATTTACTTACATGAACTCATCATCCTTATCTAACATATTAACCTTTATTTCCCTAATTTTTATAACTTCAATATTATTACTATCTGCGCTTAAACTATTTATTTTTATTCTAGACAACGCAACGGCATTTGAGTTTTGCGATCCTTTCTTATAATTGATTTCAAAGTCATAATAGGCGTCATCTAGTAAGTTTACTATTTGGTTCTTTCAGCGAATAGAGTAAAGCCAAAGGTCTATGGTTAATATACATGTAAAAGTTTTTGCTCCATTTTGCCTAAAATGATTAACCGCCCAAATAACTTTCAAAAGCTCTTTGTCAATAATGCTATATCTCGATTCAGTATCACTTAAAGTTCTGCTAGCATAGGCCACTGGTTTGTCTGAGCCTATACTGCCTTCTGAAAGTACTGCCCCGATTACATAGTTTGAAGCATCCATGGTCAGAATAAATGGTTAGAAACCATTTATTATATTATATAAATCCGGAAATATAGTAAACGATCATTTATAAGAAGTTTTTTACATGTTTCGAAACTTTCAATATATTCCTTATTTAAGTCTATACTTTTACCTTTTTTAAGCATACTGTAAGCGGTCTAGTTATTTTCGCGAAATTCTTAATAAATTTCCTGTACATAGGGGACTATGAGTAGTAGCTTAGTACCCTATGAGACCAAGAAAACTTTTGATTTTATTCGTCGTTTTGAGTATAGGATATTTTAATACTGCCTCTATTTTATCGTTATTAGGTTTTAGCCTTTCATTAGTTACAGTATCCCTAGATAAAGTAATTTCTTTGGAGTAAATGGGATTTATCTAACTGCACCTTTAAGTTAGTTTCACGAAATCTCTGAAATCTGCCCTAAGTTTTTCGTTATATTCCTGAATGCTTTTCGCGAATATTATAACGTCATCAAGATATATCAGGCATTGGACGCCTTGTAGACTTCTCAAAACGATATCCATTGCGCGCTGAAATGTAGCCGGTGCCGTCTTTAGGCCAAATGACATTCTATTAAATTCGTTATGCTCAAATGAAGTATTAAAACCTGTTTTGGCCCAGTCCTCTTTCTCCACTTCAATCTAGTGGTAGCCACTTGCTAAATCTAGAGTGGTAAAATACAAACTCTTGCCTAACATATCACAAAGATCATTGATATTAGGTAGAGCGTATTTATCATCTACTGTGATCTCATTGAGGCGTCTATAATCTACGACTATTCTCCATTTTTGTTTACCCGAATTATCTACTTTTTTAGGTACCAAATGGACCGGAACACTCTAAGGTGAAAATGATTTTAGAATAACATTAACTTTGAGCATTTTTTCTACCTGATTTCTAATTTCTGCCGTTTGTGTAATCTACAAGCTTTAATATGTATTGGGTCTTCGTTTTTTGTTTTTATTTTATGATTTACTTCATTAGTAAAGAAGAGGTACGTCCTCACAATAAAAGATATCTTTGTATTCTTTGCAAACATTAATTATCGATTGTTTTTCCTCCTAGTTCATATGATCGACGCTTAACTTAGAGAGATTATCCGTTAAAAGCTGATCTAACCTATGACTATCCTTATTAGTAAAATTCAAATTAATTCTATCGTGCATTAGCATATTTTCTAAGTATGGTTCGACCTTGAACAGACTCGTCACTAGATCTATCTAGAATTTTGAATAACTGTTGTCTCATAACCATGTACACAGTTTACTATGGCTGTCGGAATTCTAACCTCATTGGTAATTTCTGTAAAGTTTAATATGGCCTCACCGTGTAACAGATTAACTGGAAGTTTTCCCCTTAATTCACTACGCTGAGATAACATAAACACGCATTGGTGGGCTATAAAGAATAGATATACAAGTGTCCTTAGTATTTTTTTTTATATTTCATGTCGATATTCGCATGAAGTGTCGTCAATAAATCGCTACCAATTAAGCCATCATATCCTACACATTAAATATAAAATTTAAATGTCCTAGGTAAAAGTATGTACACAACCTCATTATGTTTACTACTGGCATGGGTACTAACTACTTCAAAGTTTTCGTTACGCTTAAAGTAAAAAAACTATTGATTCGCTAACTGTGGGCTTAAAAACGAACGTTAACTTCCTGTATCAACCATAAAAATTGCTTTAAGTTCTGGTATACATATGTGTGGAAGATATAATATACTACAATTTAATTTTATCCGCTCTGGTATACAGAAGCCCTTATGCAAAAATTACCTACTTGTTCGTTTTTATTAGAAGTGTTTGCAACCACATTATTTCCATGGGGTTGTTATAAATTAATTTGCCTAATTCCGCGTAAAGAAAGAAAATGATGTGTCCTGCCCAGTTCTAAGGGGACCTCCCACCCTCCCTCTAAGTAGTCGCACTAGCCTAACTAAATATTTTGGCAAATAAAATAATAAAACATTCAATGAAAGATTGGTGTGAATATTTTACTTAGATAACCACGCAGCTGCATCTTCAATAGACTCATTAATTTTGCAATCAGAATGCTTCTTAATTGTTGTATAAGATGACAAAAATGTAAATAACTTTCGCTCTAACTTATTTTTAAGCTCTCTAACTCAAGAACAAGACAATCTTCTGTTTTAATTCTATCCAAGAATGTATCGAATCTCATTCCCCGATTAAACTTGCTGCTTCCCTACTTAATCTACCTGTAATAGTATCAAAAAGATATTCGTTTTGTACTTCATTACCCTGATATAAATTTATGATATATTCAGCTTTACGAATGAATAAGTACAAGAGCCTTGTCTCACCACTGAATAAAAGGATTATTTTTAGGACTCCCGGAGGTATAACTAGAATTTCTTCCATTTTTATTTATTAATATAAAACACATTTTAAACCACTAAACTGGCGTGAAATTTTTATCACTTTATCTACTATTATAATGTGCTATGTGCCAGAATGGCCTTTTCTAATCCCTAAAGTACACGGAACATATAAAAATAACCAGGTGAATTCAAAGGAAGGTTTACAGGATAGTGAAAAAATCTACTCACATGACCCGTAGCTTCCGCTTTCCTTCTGTGATCGGTGAATCTGCTCAGCTTGCTCTGCGCCGTGGCTTCTCTTGACGAATTTATTTGGTTCACTGACCTGTTAAATCGTTGAAACGAACGTTGGAGTCTTCTCGGAGCCCGAAAAATTTTGATTCGCGATGGACAGAGGACCCAAACGACAAGGTCACTTACCGGCTGCGTCAGTCAAGGAATTGATACACGATTCAATAAAAAAAAATATTTTTTATTGAATAAAACAGAGATACAGAGTTTATCGAGCGAAGAGATTGACAATAAAAATGGAATTTATAATATATAGTTGGAAGCAACTGGGTACAAAACTTATTCTGATGAACGTCAGCATAATTTGTTCCAGAGAATCTTATCGCCCGCAGCTTCGTCCTTATGAATTTTCTAATGTCATGCGTTTCAATGGAACTCTACTATTTTCAGTTAGATTAAATTTTTATAAATAATTATAATAAAAATAAATTGATTTTTTCCCCATAATATCCCAAATTCTTGTATTTTGTGTTCACCGTAATTAGAAACAGACTGAGAGGTAATGAAAAATTTCAAGGTTATTTTCTTGTATTTTTACGTCATTCAAGAGGGCGGGTTCCAGTTTGTACGAAGTACATGTATTTCCGATTCCATGAATCTGTCAAAGTGTTGTTAATCACAAACCATTGATATAAGAAAAAGAGGATAAGCAGTAAATTGCATATATATTTTTTGGTTATACAAATATCATGCAAACATGAACCTTGACAACAAAAATATATTTGTCTCATTCTCACACGTTAAGATTTTCAAATGTAAAACAAGATAAGTACATATCTCAGACTTCAATTTTCTGTTGACAGTTTTCATAATTTCACTAAGCTCCACTTTGAACCATGACGCCATTTTAGGATGACGTTCATTTGTGGTAGTTCGTCTGTCATCTAAGCCTTGTTCGGAGTTATTTTGCAGTGTTACAGTGAATTTTGACTATTTTGGAGCTTTTTTGTTCATTAGTAAAGGGTAATTGAGAAAAAACAACATGACAAAGTATTGCATCAATGGATGTAATTCAAATTCTCCTAAAAATTAAGAAGAATTGTCATTTTTCAGATTAGTTCAATCAACTAAGGCATCTTTACCTTCCCTTGTCATCTTTACCTACCACTGACAAGTAATAAGAAAAATCATTTTTATCAGAAACTACTATTGGTAGATATTTCATAGACACATTAGTAGTTTCGTAATGAGCCTATGGTCACGCATATTTTTTTTTTATACTGGCAGCACTGTCCAATGACAAGTTATTAACGTTTGTTGATAATCGCGGGACACTTGTCGCAGCTAATTCTGGTCGAAATTTTAATTGTGCTTGTGAATTTGCTTGGCTGAGGTAAGTAGAATTGATATATATTATATATAACCTTCCTAAGAAGACGTGGCAGCTGTTATAGTGGTAATTTCTTAATAATTTTAAGAGAAATTTGCATAGGTAATGATAGTTGAGGCGAGGTAAAGTTGCCACAGTTTGTATAGTGGCGTCTTTACCTGTACCTAGGGTTGTCACTATACTTTACGCGTTTCTATACGTAAATGTTTTATTTATCTACTTTTAGGAGGGCTTACAAGCTAATTACAACTTACATAACAAAAAGATGAACAAATGACCGAATTGGAAACGAAAGGGTATGAAACAGAAAGCTTGAGAACAAAATATGACAAGGGGAAAGAAGAATGGTTAAAACAGGAAATAGAGGATCAAATTAAGGAATTTGAAAAAAAAGGATATGAGATAAAAAACTTGAGAATAGAAAGTGATAAAAGGCAAGTAAAAGAGATGGTAAATTTATATGACATGGATAAAGTCGAATGGGAAGTACGGAACATAGAGGAACAAACGAAGGAATTGGAAACAAATGGACATGAGAAAGAAAGCTTAAGAATAGAAAGCGATGAAAGGAAAGGACAGGAGATGGAAAAACAGATGGTACATGAATATGAAATGGAGAGAGACGCATGTAAAGAACAGGGAAAAGAGGAACACATGAATGAATTGGAAACAAAAGGACATGAGACGGAAAGCTTGAGATCAGAAAGCTATGAAAGGAAGGGACAGGAGATAAAACAAAAGATGGTAAATGAATATAAAATGGAGAGAGACTTATGGAAAGACCAGGAAACAGTGGAACAAATAAAAGATTTAGGAACAAAAGAGCATAAAACAGAGAAGCGTGAAAGAAAACAACAGATAAAGAGCCTGATAATAGAAAACGATGATAAAAAAGGACTGAAGATAAAACGACGAAGACTAGAAGAGACTATGTCAGAAAAAGATACAATTAATGAACAAAATGAGAAGGCATTTATAGCCAAAAGTTTATATATTGGACAATACATCTTAGTAAAGTTTGAAAGTACCAAAAATACAAATAAGTATTACTGTGGCCTGATTACGAAAATATCCGAGCGTGAAGGTGTTTTCGCGAAATTCATGAGATATAAAAATGGCGGGTTTTACTGGCCCACAGTACCCGATACAAGTATTGTATTTGAAAATGATATAGTACAAATTTTACCAAATCCCTATAAAAACCGGCGTGGAATTTTATATTTTGATGTCAAATTTAAATATAAATTGGAATAATAAGTTTCATTAAGTATAATTATCAATACAATTTAGTTGAAACTATGGTAGTATAAGTATGATAAATGTGAAACAACTAGTGCCTGATATACATTATATAACTCTTCATGCGAGTGTCTGACTTGCATTTAATCAATGTTTTATAGCGTACATTTTAACATCATTTTTAAACTGGTGGCAGCCCTGATAATTAATTACATTTGTATGAGAATTTCAATGGAGTCCATGCCATCTTTACCTACCAGCATTTATTGCCCGTATATAGCTTTTTTAATTAAAATACCCATATGTCTAAACAGAGAAAGTAAAGCGAAAGGGTATCTTTACCAATTTCAGTTATAAAGGCTTCATTTTATCGAGAAATACTGTATAGGTAAAGTAGCCATTTTTGTGGCTTCTTTACCTGTGTCATGTTTTTGGTGCTACTTTAGTGGTTTTGCAGCCATGGGAAACAGTGCATTTATAAAGCAACGGAGAAGTACTATATTCATCGATTAAAAATAATAGCTTAATCATAAGTGTTTTATTTTTCCATTTATTAACTTTTTCCTTCAAAATTATGGTAAAGATGCCTTAGTTGACGGTTGTAATTTTTTTCCATAATTGTATATTTTTTCGTGTGAATTGCGTTTCGTGTTCATGTTATGGGTTCTAAATCGTGTTTCCCGCTATTATCTAGAATTTCCAATGACTATTATCATGTAAATTTAAACAAATAAACATTTTGATTGTTTACATTTTTTACATAGTGTTGCCCTTACGTGCTGTCATGTTTTGAAATTATCGATATAAATTTTAACAATAATATTAATGTAGTCCTATGACCAAATAACGTTTTAGATACGTAAACTGTATATTTAATCAAACGATCGATTGAGAGCCTTTCATTTAAGAAAAGAACTTGAAAATAGTGTAAATCGTAAATTTTCTATAATAGTTTTTTTCATCAAAAGATTTGATGATGTTAAGATTATTTTTGATTGGTACTTAAGGATGCATAATATTTATTTTAGATTGCCAAAAAATGAAGGCCTTCAAAAATTGTGGATTGATAATATAGGCCAAGAAAACATAAAACCTGCAGTTGTAAGAATAATATGCTCCTTGCATTTTGAAAAAGAATGTATAAATAGAACGCTGGATGTAGTTCGGCTTAAGGGTGATTTGGTTCAGGTGTCTAAAATAAATTTTCTGACTAAATAATATTATTTCGTCACGAATAAATGATTTTAATCAGTATACATTATTGTTATTTTATTTATTTTTAATCCTTATTCTCTCGTTTACCTCCAGTATCCACCACTAATTACGCTACTGGTGGAAGTCATTACAATTTACAGGTTGTAAACACTATAAAATTGACATTTTGTGGTATTACACAAATGGGATATGATGAGAAATGAGTATGGAAGTGGAAATCTGAAGTGGCGCAGCCACCCCTATTGATCGAAATGCTGCATGGAAATTGGTTGTCATATGGTATGAACATGGGATGCTGAAGATTGAGGAATACGTCAGGATAGTTAAATGATTAATGGATTGTGTGAACGGTGGTATGGTTAGAAAGGGGCTGCTTAACTCGATTAGATTACTGAGATAAATAAATAAATAATCTTTATTATCAAAAAAAAGAGAGATGACGGCTAGTAACCATGTATGAAAGAACACATGCTCCACAAACTTTAAATAAATCAAGATAAAGGTCAGTCTACTGCACGTTCATGGTGACTTGAACTGGTAACCGACCGACCACGAAAAAAAGGTGTTGTCGAATCTTTATGGCGGCTTTGAAGTTAAGAGCGAGCGCTAGTCCGTGCAGATATAGGAAAAACGTTAGCTCGTTGCACGAACTCAGTATAATATTCTGGTGCACGTCGAATACGTGTTCTGAAATGAAAGGAGCTAAAGCTCCAATCAAGTGCTCTTTCCTTGGTCTCTTCGCTCACTTTTGACTGTTGCTTCACTATATCTTAAAGCAATTACAGTTTCAAAACTTTGCTATTCTGAGTTGAACGTAAGATTTATTTATTTATCATCTCAATACAACTAGTATTACAGGATTAACCCAATGCAATAGTGTAGTGATCTAATATTTGTTTATTTAATATATACCTATGAGATGGACAATACGTCATAATTTATATAGCATCGATACTGAAAATATCGACAAAAACTACGCTATTCCTTGTGGGTGGAGTCGTCGCCATATTTGAGAAACACTTGACTTCAGATCACGTGACCATATTATGCCATATCCCCTATTTTTCTTATATCTATGTCACAAACTAATAATGCTGAGAGGAGTTTCGGCGGGAACTTGACCGGCAGCGGATTGCTGCTCCTGTATTATTGTTTAAATAATGGTTTGAAGTGGATTTTGATACGTAATAATGGTGCAATTTTATGTATTAAATGTCTGCGCATGTGAACTATTAGTGGAAACGGTAAAACAAGTGTTCCGACAGTGATGTGAATCTCAAGATAAGGTGTGTTTGCTTAGGTGCCTTGAGATACTATCGCCAACTGTCTACTGGCTCAAGTTGACGTTGAAAACTTCCGAGGGCTGCGCAATGTGACATATAAACATAATATTGTGAAGCAGTGTACTTTAAAGGATTCTTATCACTTGATACTCAAATAAATGAAGACGTGGCTTAAAAGACTTAAAAGAAAGGTTTAAAAGAAGCATCAAGCCAATAATCTTTATTTTAAGGTGAAAGCGCCAGGGTGGCCCGCGAAATTCAAATTTTCTTGCGTTTTTTGTAATTTGCAGTTCAGGGTCAGGTTGTATGTTTAACAAAATATGATTTGCGACCGTAACGATTATATGTTTACAAAATTATTATCATTAAAAGCACCAATACAATAAAAAAAAATTAATTTCGTGGGCTACCCTGGCGCTTCCACCTTAAAAAATAATATTACTTAGGGATGGTAAGTGAAAAACACTTCGATATTTATCGTATCGATATTTTTAATAAATATCAAACAGTATCAATAATTATCGCGTGATAAATATATCGTCATAATATATATATAACGATATAACGTCATATTTTGCATAATGTAGTAGGCTGAGAGCCAAAATTTGATCTTGTTGAATTGAACTATTATGAACTAAAATAGATACTATAGAGGCTACAGTTAAACACTATGTACTTGATTTGTGACTGTACACTTTACTAGTTAGACAAATGATAGCGTGTGTATTAATATGGTCTTAAACAAGTAGGTATTGATGACGAAAAAAAAAACAACAGCACATGAAACAGAAACAGGAACTTTTTTATTCATTATATTTTATAAATAATACTTATTGAAAGTCACTCTTTTTGGATGCGCCAGAGGTCGCTTCCTGCTATTATTTTAAATTATCTGTTTCACCTTGGGAGTTGCAGTTCATGACCTTATGGGCAAACCCTGTCGAGACAGTCGCGTCACAATCGTCGAGGCACGCACTCGCATCAGTCGCTTTCCATTTGTCGACGCAGTCAGTCGCTTCCGAAACTTTGACTCAAACGCGCGCGCCATTTTGGTCACGCAACGCATCGCATAGTAAAGCGTTCGTCGGTTACCACTCCCGAAGAAAAAACCTGAAGATAACCGCATCGCAGCTGTTGAAGTAAGGAGTTCGCCGCGCCGCTCCGCATCCGAAAATAGCCGGTGAGCCTATTTGGTCTTAAGAACATGCAATTACCCGCTGGTCCTTCGTGTTTATCTACTTTAACTCGAACCAGCCTCTGCAGGGGGCTTGAGCTGTCGTAGGAAGAAATTGTTTAAAGCCCCCACCACGTGGGCGCCTCGTGGGCCACATCTCCCGTATAGACTGGGTTTTCCTGGTCACCCTGCATACCACTACTGGTTTTTTTTTCGAGCTACATATTCTTACAAAGCTTATGGTTCGATCCCGTATTTAAGCTAATTAAATAAATTAGCTAGTGGCCCATTAGAGACGCACCCACCACTTTTGTTTAATTACCACTGGTTCGAAAAAAACCTCTGTCCTGGGAATAACCAGCAAGAAACCCAGCGAGACTTTTTTTTTAAATAACAACTTACAATCATGTATGTTACACAATTAACAACACAACAAATTAGAAATAGCTTGGTAGCGATCACCTCATTCCCAGGGGTTATTATCATCCATAAATTCCTTAATATTATAATAACCCTTTTTATATAAACTTAGTTTAATCAAGTTTTTCAACTTTGAGCAGGTCAAATTTTGTATATTTTCTGGAATTTTGTTGTAAAAGCCCCAAGAATGAATTACTGACTCGATGGAGTCGATAACTGGTACGGTACTACTAACTTGTGTCTGTTCCTAGTGTTTACAGAATGAATATCACTGTCTTTTGTAAAACTACTTTTATTTTTATGTACGTACATTAAAATAAAAGTAGTTTACACATTTTAGTTTATACATTTTCGTAATTGTATTGAGAGGCCAAAGTTAATATATTAATTTCTTTAAATTTTTGTCGCAGCGGCACTTTAGGCTTTAAATCATAAATTGCTCTTACGGCCCTCTTCTGTATAACAAATATAATTTCAGTAACAGCAGCGTGTCCCTATAGCAATATACCATACGACATCATGCTATGGAAATAGCTAAAGTAAACTAGTATAGCTGTTTCAACACTGGTAAGATTTCTAAACTTTTTTACAGTATATGCTGCAGAACTAAGTCTGCTTGCTAGTTTTGATATATGGGGGTTTCATTGAAGGCTTCGAGCATTGATTCGAAGCATGAATGCTTTTGTAGTTGCTTTTGTTACTTATTATTTTGTCTGATAAATTACATTGTATATTAAATAAATATATATTTTTTTTAAATTTAAACTTGAATTGGAACAAGATTGTTTCCTTAATTTTCTCGACTTAACAATAACAAGAAAAGAATCGTCACATGTTTTCCAAATTTATCGAAAGCCAACTCACACCGACACGGTCATCCCCGCGTCATCATGTCATCCGTGGCAACATAAAGTAGCCGCTTTTTATTGTTACATTAACCGTTTGTTCACTGTCCCATTAAGTAAAGAAAATTATTTAAAAGAACTTAATATAATTTATCAAATAGCGGTCTCTAACGGTTTTTCAAAAAATCTCATTAACAATTTAATTAAAAAGAAACAAAAGCATGTTATTCGCAACTCTCTGTACGCGGTTCAACCTCAAAGTGTTCATCGATATGTGAGCAGTTTGACCTACTTAGGCCCCATATCTGAAAAAGTACCTAATACTCTTCGACAAAACGGCGTTCATGTGGCGTTCAAAACAAACAATTCTCTTAGAAACATCTGTAATAGTAAAGATAAGTTGGATATTCGTCAAAAGTCAGGTGTTTACAAACTTGCTTGTGACGAATGCCACGCCGTTTACGTGGGTCAGACTGGTCGCAATTTCGAGACACGTTATAAAGAGCATTTAGCCGCGTACAGGAATTGCAATCCCGATAAATCCCATTTTGCCAAACATCTTTTGGACACTGGACACAACCTAGCCAACGACCACTCCTTTAAAGTCTTACATACGTGTAATAAAGGGCTGCGGCTGTGTGTGCTGGAACAGTTAGAGATATTAAAAAGTAATAATAATACCGTTGCATTGCTGAATGAACAAACAAATGTTACTAACTCACCTCTCTTAAATATCTTCAAGCCTGCTCTCTAATAATAGAGAGCCTCGCAATATGGTCGTTTGTCACTCTCACGGTGATCGGCGATTGGTTGCGTGGTTGGAGGGTGGGCGTTGCGCGATGGTTTGTTTTTAATTTTACAAACGGCTGCGTAAATCCAGCGGTGATTGGTCGCATGTTTAATCGCATGACGCAGTCGCTCGCTCCTTAGGTAGAGAGCGGTTGCATCATCGGTCTGTATAAAAGGCACTTGTTTTGGCTCGCCGCTCACTTAGCAGTTAGCCACCGTAGAGTCTATATCACCTGAGGATGCCTCGTGTAGAGGCGAAACACGTGTCGTATTATCGTCAGTGGTGTGTCTTGCCTAGTGTAGTGGTGTTGGGAGTAGCGGTGCTGGGATTAGTGGTGGCGGGGATAGTGCACGCAATTGAGGGAGGGCGGGAGGTGCTCTTCGTACTAGGTAAGACACATTATTTTATTTTATAACGCGAATATTTGCGAAGTAAATTTTTGTAACAGCTTTTATATAATGGATTTCCGCAAAGTAACGCCTGATTCTATTAATTATATTAATTAAATATATCTTTGTAAAATATATCAAAGTTGATACGAATTCAATACTCTAAAATAAATATCGAATATCGATATATCGCGATTAAAATAAATAATTATGATAAAAGATAGATATTTTGTGAGAAAATATCGATATCAAAAAGGACAAGCATCCAAGCCAAAAAATTTAATTGGAATGTACCATAGATATAGTATAAACTAGTTAGCCCGCCTAAGGGTATTAGTGTTCTGTATGGAGTGTAGAGTAGAAGGAGAACCATCTTATAAGGAGCGAAGGTTGAAAAAGTGTCCTACTATTTACTGTAAATAGAGGTTCCAAAACCTACCACAATAGCGCTGGCGTCTGAAAAACTACGATATGAAGATAGCTGTTATGAACGGAGTGAAGTCAGCTGAATTCAAATATTTCATGACTAGAGTAGTTAGTAAAACGCCAATATGCAAAATCTCAACTATTTACGTAGTACAAAACCAAGCGGATTGATCGGTCCTTATTTATTTCTCCATCTTACTCTAAATACTTTTGGCGCTTCTTTTTTAATTTATCCTATGCTACTGCAGCGCCACCCTTATTGGACACGTTTTTAGGGACACTTTTCATATACAGAGATGGTCCTCCTTCTACTCTACACTCCATAGTGTTCTGTCATGGAGTATAGAGTACTCCATGTGTTTTGCTGTTCTGTGAACGCGTAGTGTTCACAGAACACTAATACCCGTAGTGTTTCTATATAGTTTGTGGTTCTGTGCTAGTTAGTCTGTGATCTTAATAAAAAAAACTGGTCTGAACGCGGAGGCACGAGTGTTTTTCATAGCGTTGTTCATTTTTATAACTTCATAAAATGTAAAAATGTTTCCATTTCTTTACATATTTACGGCGGTACAATATTAAAAAGGAATAAACGTTAATAGGTCTCATGGAATTTATTTCAGGGCACGGAATAAATCTCCAACGGCTGCATCAGAAAAAGATAAAAAGAAGCCAAAAGACAAAAAGAAGAAAGAAGAATCGGGTTCCAGCAGTAGTGATAGCAGCGGCAGGTGGGCCAATTTAATAAAGATAATCTTTTATTAACTTATAGGTTATAATTTTTTAAATAGTTGAAACATTAGTGTTAACACAAAGCTTGGTGATGTTATTTATTTCCGTTTTAGCTAATTCACAAAGCAAAATATATGCCAAATTTTAGCTTATTTTGACTTATCTAAATATTTATTTAACACTACACTATGATAATTATTGATATTGTTAATACACTTTGTTTCTTTTTATTTCTTCCTAGAATTAAGAACAGTGTGTTCTCTTAAATTTGAAAGGCTGAAGATGAATGATGAACATAAAAATTTATGGTGTTATTAATAGTGATAACATATTATAATATATAGTAAGGCCAACTAAATCAATGTCTGGATCCATCTCAACTTAGTAGCATTTAGAAAATTATTCAGGGAGCTATGGAGAGGGCTATGCAGCTCAGTTTTCCATTGATGCCTGTAGAGTTGGGGGTTGATTTTTTTTTTTACATAAAGATACATGCAATTTGAACATAATATAGAGATGCATACTGTTTGAGAAAATAATTTTTGAAAATCAATTATTTATGTCACAGATTATATCGAATTTTCTAATTATATTTAAATTACAGAATTATTTTCATTACGAGCTATTAAAATGTGTTGTGAGTGTTTACAGTCTTTTGCTGGCTTGTGGAACGAAATGTAAAAACGCTATTTTGTATTTTCACTGTCATCGTCAGTCATTGTTTGTGTCCCTTGCCATTGAGAGTTAAACACTACTCCTATTGGTGAAAACGTCATTTGACTACCACCATGGCGTCTCAGAAGCTCCAGGTTTCGTGTTCTGCTGTGCCGTCTGAAGAATCGAGTGTAGTGAAAGTGTTGGACTCTGATGAACCATTTGTCGCAAGCTCTTCTGAAGGCCCCCGTGTGTGCAAGAGTTGGACTCTAGTGAGCCACTTGTGCCTATGACTGTGCCATCGGAACCAGTAGCTGGTAGTTCCCGTGCCACTGTTCCCAGTACCGTGTCGGTACTGCCGCCTGCGTTTCCGACGTCTTCTGAGAGCAGTGTGGGTGATGCGGAACCTCTAGCTTCTGGGTCGTCTGGCAGAAGAATCCACTATTATGCCGAGGAAATAAGGTTGGTTCACTGTGTTTTCTTATATAGCCACATATCTAAACTTCACAGAAAAAGCTGACAAGTAAAGCAGTAATTAGATTTCTAATAGGAACATTTTTGTTTGTTTTAGGTGCCACTGGAATATGTGTAAGATCATTACCTGGCTCAACACCCCAACACAGCGCATTGCATTTGCTGAAGAGCATAGGCTCCTTCCTACAAAAGAAATGTGCACATATCATAGGACACCTATGACGTTAAGCTCCAGTAGTAAGACTGGTCAGCTTGGCATCTTCTGATGCAGGAAGAGTAACTGTCGCTCTAGGGGCAGTGAGTCAGGCAGTGGGAACATGGTTCAAGAATGTGCGGTTGTCTATCGAATTACAATTTTTACTGACATGTATGTTAAGCCAAAGGTATAGTTATCTTCATGTAAAATTAGAGACAGCCTGTGAATATTGAGAAACAGTTTTACCAACAAGGACAATAATTGACTGGTTTTCTTACTGCTGGGAGACAGTAGTTATTTATGAATTGGAGCACCAAGAATGTAATGGCAAGATTGGTGGTCCAGGCAAAATTGTACAAATAGATGAATCAAAATTTAGATAAAGAAAGTACAATAGTGGGAGACACATTGAAGGCCACTGGATGCTGGGCATGATAGAAAATGGGAAATATGATTTGAGATTAGAAGTGTGTCCCAATAATGAGAATTAATATGATCCCGATAAATGTTGGTGCCACTAATACAAAAGCACGAGGAAGTAGGCACTGAAATCCATACCGATTTTTGGAGCCTATCATTACCTACCTCAATATGGATACATACATAAAAAGGTAAATCACAGCGACCCTATAAATAAATTTGTGGCACCAGATGGAACACACACACAAAGAATAGAAAGCCACTGGCGAAATTTTAAAGTGATATTTGGTAGGGATGGTTATAAAGCAAACTTCACAGACTGGCTCATTGAATATTTCTGGCGAAGAAAAATAAAAATAGCACATAAAGATGTTTTCGAAGAATTAATTAAAGCAATACAATATGTGTATAAAATTGATTAATAAATTATTTATTATAATTGATTTTTTTTAACAATACCTATTAAGGCAGGTAATAAATTAAATAGGTTAGGTTCAACTTACACCAAAGAACTGAATTGATTGACCCTGACTCCACCTGGTACGAGTCTGTCCTACCCCTAGTGTTTTTATGGAACCGGAGGCGCGTAGGGAGAGAAGCCTCTGCCTGCTGTAACAAATCGTAAGCATCGGACGAGACAATTTGTTACATAAAGGCGTAGAGGCTGCTCTTCCCGCAGCGGCGGGAGACGTTGCAGTCTCAAAATAGAAACGGAAATCCCTTTGAATCAGTCTCCCTATTTTTTTGTGATGTATGGGGTTCTCCCCTTCCCCCCAAGAGGTCCCTCTGGTTTTTACACTTATTATTAATCCATAAAATGAGGAAAATTACCTCAGAATTCAAAATAAAAAAAAACTCGAAAGGCCGCTCCGAAACTTCCGTTTAAGAGGGGTAGTACAGCTCCCACCCTCAATTCGACGAACATCAATGGAAATTCGTACCAGCTATGCTCGAATGATACAATATAATATAATAAATATATATGAAGTAGGATTAGAAGTATCTCCTATAGCTTAAAGGTTCAATACAATGTAGTGGCAAGGTTCAATACAATGGGTTGGCCATATAGCTCTTAACTGGCAACCGATGGGAATGGGAGGTTCTCAAGTGATAGCTTTGTACTGGTAAGTGAAGTGTAAGGTAAAAGTATGCAGGAAGTTGACAGATGCAGATAGTTCAAGTCTGTATTTTGTGGCATTCTTTGGAGATGACCATTGTTCAGCGGCAGAGGAATTGTGAGGAGCCCCAGTAATACTAAAAATGTAAATGATGACAATATTTTTACAATTGTTATGCCACATTAGAGTTTTTGACAATAAGTATTCTTTAGTTGGTAGTAGTTAGTAATTTGTTTTTTTTTTTTTAATTTAAATTAATCTTTTATTGATTTGATTAGATTTATAAAGAAAATTGTCCATTTTGATATGATTTTTTTTAATGCAGTTCATCTGACAGCAGTTCATCTCGTTCTTCGTCACGGTCATCATCAAGCAGCTCAGGCAGTTCATCACGCTCTTCCTCTTCCTCCAGTTCATCCAGCAGTAGTAGCAGCAACAATGATCGGGCTAGGCCAAAGAAAAAGTATTAACCTTATTTTCTTTATAGTTACAGAGATAAATTAACAACAATTTAAATTAAACATAATCACAGTTATGGCTATGTCATCTTTTTTTATAGAATTAAAGAAGACAAACAAGCACACCTGATGCTGAGTGAATGCTGTGGTCATAGGCATCAAAATCTCTGCTTAAAAATCATAGCAAATATGTTGTAGTCACAGCTGAAGACTAAAATGAAATGCCACATTACTGATCTCCAGTTCTTATCACTATATAAAACATAGCAGCATTATGCTGCTATTTCCTATTTTTATGTTGATTTCATGCTATTCTGTGGGAGTATGGTCATTGTCCAGTTGGACTGACCCCATTTGTGCTGCAGCATAGTTATCAGGATTATTTACTTATGCAGAGCCAACCATAAATAAATAATCCTGATCATATTTTCCATTACATTGTTTCAGACTTTTCCAGCAAGATCTGTAGGTAGGTAGGTAGAATGAGTTCTATTAACAGTTTCCCTGTCTGCGATATAGAAACAATAGTTAAACAATCGAAATGTTCATATATGATTCATAGGACAGTGAAAGTGTTAAGTCTTATGCCAGTAGTAGTCATAATAAATGTAAATGTGTGTAGTAAAGTAAATGTTATGTTCATTTGAGAATCTAAAAATAAAATATATTCTAGGACGTCGCCTCATAAAAGTCCTGTAAAGGATCGTCGTGAGCCAGAAAGGGAGAAAATAAGAGACAGATCACCAAATGCTGATAAGAAGAAACTGACATTGCCAGTCACAAATGATAAATTAAAGGGCAAAGAAAAACAGGAACGGTAAATATACTTTTTGCTCTTCGTTTTCCTAATTTTGATAAGTGTGTCCATAGTAATGATAATTGTATATATTTTGCAGATCGCCAGGTCGCAAAAAACGTGAAAGATCACCTCCGCCAAGACCCACTCGTATACATATTGGTCGTTTAACATTAAATGTGACAAAGGAACATATTAACGAAATATTCTCAACATATGGCACAGTCAAAATGGTAGAATTTCCAATGGACAGACTACACCCCCACAATGGACGTGGTTATGCCTATGTGGAGTTCAGCAATGCTGATGAAGCAGAAAATGCTATGAAACACATGGATGGAGGTAAAAAAAACTAGTCCTAACTTGTCTAGACTATTCTTATTGTGTAAGACAACATTTTCATAAACCAGTAATGTGCAGAATGAACATTTTGCAAATTATTATGTATAAATTAATAGCATCTTTACTTGTGATGGTTCAGTATTACAGATGTTAAACTTATTCGGCCTTCTTACAAAAAGTAGTTTATACTTAGTCTCAGGTTGAAACTAGAATCCGTTTAAAGTATGAGAACTAAAATGTAAAATATGGAGTTTGGCAGCAAATTTTTAATTACGTGAAGACTGTAACACCCATAAGAGACTTCTATAGTTAGGAGGACTCTTCTTAAATCATAGTTTATAAACATGAGACTTAACTCAACAAACCACTTTTTGTAATGAGACGCAATACAACTGTACCTTAGCTGGGCTGTACTGTGAACTCTATTTCTACATACAACAAGCGTTAAATGCATTCAAGAAATATTACGAGAATAGAATGTGGTAAAGCTACACTGCAACTATATTATTATGGTTGTAGCACAAATAATGGGTCGGCTCGACCACGGTAAGACCACACTCACAGAATACAACAGCATAAAATTAGTGATAAGTGACAGTATAAAAAGCATGTTATTGAATTAAATTCTTAATAGGCTACATTTGTATTTAGAAACATTTTTTCCTGAAAATAAGCAAAAATGTTTCAAAGTAATTAACTTTTAGTCCACTGAATGTCGCACGCTTACTTCGTGCTGGAGAAATATGCATGCAGCGCAGAAAGGAGCGCTAAAAGCCTTCCAACGTCGGAAATCCTCGCCTTAAGATATTAAATAATTTGTACCGGTACAGGTCAGATCGACGGGCAGGAGATCACTGCGGCGCCGGTGCTAGTGCCGTCGCGGCCGCGCCGGCCCTCGCCGCGCCCGCCGCCGCGGCACGTGCCGCCGAGACGACACTCGCCGCCACGGTACGTTTCTTAATCTTACACCAAAGACTTCTATGTATAATATTTTTGTAGACCGGCAATCTATACTAATGTAATAAAGCGGAAGAGTTTGTTTTGTTTGTTTAAACACACTAATCTTTGGAACTAGCAGTCCAATTTGGAATATTGTTTTTGTATATTATAGCCAGATTCATGAGGAATAATATAGGCTATCTAGCATGAGGGTACACTTCTCAGCTAGCCTTAAATATTGATTTTTGTTAACCCGTGAAGCGTCTGGTCATTTTTCTTTTTTAAACGTCAAATGTCGGGGCCTGTACGGAAGGTCTCCCGATACTGACAGGTGCTAATGTAAACAATGATTTCTTTTTAATTTTGTATGCCAGATATATATATAAAACTTATATGTATCGAATTCTTGAAGCATTTAATTGTATATGAATCAGTGCAATTCAACTTTTATAAATATTATCTTTTTTTTATAGGATCGGGTGACAAATGAGCACACAGTCCACCTGATGGTAAGTGGTTACTGTAACCCATAGACATCTACATCTATCCTCAATAAAGACTCAAGATGCAGATGCGTTGTCACCCGTAAGGACTAAGATGGAATGCCTCTTTGCCAGTAAAAAGGGTCTCCGGTTCTCTACACTCACCATACGAAACACAGCAGCGTTAAGCTGCTATTTTACGCTGGTTTTCTGTGAGAGCGTGGTCCTTCCCCGGTCGAGCCGACCCATTCGTGCTACAACCATAATATAGCTGCAGCATGGCTCTACCACGTAGAAATTATTATTGATTTCATTTTATAATTGTGCGAACTACGCACAAACGCTAGCCACCCGATGAGAACCGAAAGAAGGACAAGCAGGGGGCGCTTTTATTAGTTCAAACATCCTAGACAACAATGTATGATGGCCGATGAAAAAGAGTTATAATTTATTTCCTCTATGTATCGTGTATGGTTTTTTTAAAAGTGGAAAAAACCGCGGCTCGGAACAATTTCTAGGGCAAGAGGGGGTGACGCTCACCCGTTAGTGAGAATGGATCTAATTTAACTTTGCTCTATAACGTACATATAAAGATAAAAGTACTCCATTAATCTTGCTAATTTTTGAGCTAAAATGATTGAACTACATGCGCGAGGTGTCATGTCATGTAACGCGGCTCAGACGCATTATATATGCGGGTGAAACCGCAGGGCACAGCTAGTTCAGAATAAAAACTGTATCATGACAGCGTTTACATAAAACAAAATCAGTGTTTGATTATCGAAAACAACATTCGCTGTTTACAAAACAAAGAACTAGTCTCCCCGCCCGCTCGCAGTCGACTAAAGGAGTTGCGCAGATTTGACCGTAGTGCGCATTGTATTAAGACAGCAGAATTCATCTAGTAGTATACATAGAAGTCTTTAGATATGAATAACTCATTTTTGAACCGGTTGAAATATACAGAATGCGTGAGTTGTAAGGCTAGAGTGTAGAGTGGGGTCGCGTGCGCAGGTACAGGCGGCGCAGTCCGCCGCGGCGCCGCTCGCCGCCGCGCCGCCGCCGCACGCGCTCGCGCTCGCCGCGCGCCGCGCCGCGCCGCCGCCGCTCCAGGTCCTCCTCCTCTTCCTCGCGATAGTCACGCACACACCTCACTACACACACTATAGTCTATTTATTATAGGGAACGTTTGCGTTACACTTGATACGATCGCATTACATGTATCATTCTTTTTATTAATGTACTAAAAAGTTTCAAACATTTTTATTTACTCGTCTCCTCCAAATTCAAAATATACTTAGTTTATTGCATTACATGAAATATAATCATGGTAATACTAAAATAAAACGGAACAACCGTAAATTCGCAAGTATCGTGGAACTTATACTATAACAAATAGACTATAATACGCGCACGCAACACTAGACGCACTGACACGCACATAGGATTCGTCTATTAATCCCCCTCAAAACATTTTACATACCTACGTAATTTGACATACATTTCCACTGTTTATTACACACATACTAGGGTGGTTAATAAATTTATGTATCAAATTGAGATTTTGCAACACAATCGCAAAACACATAAGTTTAGGTGTAAAAAAGGACGCATTTATTCTTAAAGTAACAAGCTGTGCAATTAAAGCATTACTTTGGACAATATGTCAATAGCTCCTCCGGTCTGTACCTCCATTGTAAAAAAAAATACATGAAATTTTATTCTCAAATGCAACAAAACGAAATTAATGCTTCCGACCAGTACTCCCTTAAATTAAAGTTGGGTCAAAAGAAGCAAACACACTGTTTATTTACAGAAATAAGCTGTATAGCAGAGTGGTACAATATGCTACACATTTTTCTTTTAGTCATTGAATCATGACATGTAAGTCCAAACCAAATACTCAACAAGACAACATTACACATTCCAGAAAATTCAGCATAGGTAAGTATAAAACAAACCCATGTTAATGAACAAACAAAAATAATACTGACAAGGATAAAGCACAATAAGCGACAGGTAAGTATAACCTTGTCACATTGCTTTACTCCTTGAACTTGTTGAGCTATTAAAAATCTATATTAACAGGAAATTTCTTGTTATAAAAGCTTGCAAAATGGGAACTGAGCAGAGTGAGTGATCAGTGCGAATAAACTAGTAAAAAATGACTAACAAAAGTGAAGTGATAATGTATTATGTACAATTTTATTTGTAAAACTCAACGGACTATTGACTTGACTTTTGTTATAATAAACATTGAGAATAATCCATTTTTTTTATTTTGGTTCCCAGATGCAAAGAACCCGTGTTAAATGACAAGTAATGCAAACAAGTATTTTAACTATATTATAATGTGCAAGTGAAGGTTCTAATAAATACAAATTTATGTTTGTTCGTTTTTGATTTATTTTAGAAAAATGTATTATAAATATCAAAACATTTATCCAATCATTCTATAATTTCATCTTCATTGCTGAGAGATTCTTCACAGCCAGTCTTATTGCCAATTATTTTACAATAAGTCAAATAATCAGTTACAAGCACTTTCCCTTTATACAAGTAGCTATTATCCAAAAGGGGCATCTGCTGCAATGATCTGTAACAAATTATTTTTTAATAAAATGTACTGTGTTTTGATTAATAAATTCCACATAAAGTGTGTTATACTTTTTACAATTAAATACAATCTTTAAAGTAAATAATATCCCCCAGACCGAATTTCGGTCACAGTCTCAACGGAGTCTAGCCATCTGCGCAGGACTGAATCTTAGTACTCGAGTGTATGCGCAAGCACAAGTGCAGTGTCTGTTTCTTTACTCTCATTGTCCGATGGGACGGTGCTTCGACGCAACCGGGGAGAATCAGCGGAAGCACCAACGGCTTTACGTGCTCTCTGAGGCACGGGAATGAAACATCACCAACTTCCTGACTCCAAACAGTTACTGAGAATTTTACTGCATTACATTTTATATGTAGATAGATATGTACCTATGTATATACATTAGATATGAGCGCCCGCGCCGCCGTCGCCGTGAGTTCATGTCAGCGCGTCGCCGCCGCGTGAATCGCGCGGCGCGCCACCGCGACGAGTCGCAACTTCCTTTCCCGCAAACACGCGCGGCTCTGCCGCATTAGTTTTGCCTTGTCGCCACGCCACGCTTGTCGCTCACTCAGTCGACACGAATATTTCACCGAGTGAACGTGTATTGTTGTGTGGTGTTAAAAATGGACCTCACAGAATACCGGCGTGAAGTGGAAGTTCTGCTTCTGCATTTCATCTGGCAAAATTCCACTCAAGACAATAACTGCTCGGAGCAAGCTGAGCAACAAAGCCAAGGCGACCCCAGCCAAGCTATCCGTGAATTTATGCAACATCAGGGGACTTCCCTCGAACCTAAATGCTGTCCACTACCATCTCGAGATGGCGAAGCCGGCCTTGCTCTTACTGACCGAAACACAGGCATCTTCTCCAGCTGATACTTCGTATCTCTCCTATCCGTTGTACATATTGGAACACCCCTTTGTGCCTCGGGCTGGAGTTTGCATATACATCAGAGAGGACATCTGTTCTCGACGCCTCGGCAGTCTTGAAGGTTCGGACCTGTCCAGCCTTTGGCTACGCCTAGAGAGCGACGACCATCATGCGTGTACGGTTGCCTCTATAGAAACTGAAACTCCACTGAAAATCAGCTTTCATGAAGTTTTTTATTATTAAACTTCGTGAATTTAACGCTGAGTGGAAACCTTTTTGGTGCACTAATAGCATAAATTATTTTTTTCTCTTTGTAACTAAATTACTGTTTTTATGTCTCTTATGTGTTTTTTACGTTTGTGTACCAAATAAATATTTTTATTTCTTTCTTTCTATAGGTCCCATAGCGGTAATGCCGAAACAGACGGATTCATCGACCACGTCCAAATGGCTATAGATTCCTTGCTACAGCAGATCCTATCCGTAGAGATCGTGATCCTCGGTGATTGTAACGCCCACCACGCAAAATGGCTCGGTTAACGTTTAACCGATCATGCGGGAAGATCTGTTCATGTTTTTGCCTTGGCATATGGTCTGACACAACTGGTTACTTCGCTTAGGCGGATTCAAGATGTGGATGATCATGCGCCTTCCCTGTTGGTCCTTCTGCTGACCTCTCATCCGGATAGATATCAGGTCTCCGCCAACGCCCCTCTTGGCTCCTTGGACCATTGTCTAGTCTGGAGTGTGGTGTCATTCACTTTAACATCGCGGTTGCATTCTGCAGGCTGTGCAGGCATGATTTGGTCGCTCCTGTAAAATAGGATCAAGCTATAAGCAGGAGTGCTACCGGGCCTGGGCTGACGATTTAACGTCCCAGGATGTAACCACTAGCGCCCTTAAAAAGAATTATAATTCCGCCTCCAGGTCCTTCAAAAGAGTCATTGCCAAGGCAAAGTCAAAGCACACAACAGAATTGTCAAGAAACTAGTGCGCCTTCCTTCGAGAACCCGTGCATTCTGGTCTCTCGCGAAGGCTGTCCAAGGAAACTTCTGTCAGCCATCTCTTCCATCTCTGCACAGGGAGGACGACTCACTGGCCCATGCCGCAAAGGAGAAAGCCGATCTGCTAGGCTCTTTCTTTGCGTTTAAATCGACTCACGATGACGGGGGGAGCACACCGCTGACCATCCCGTGGTGTGAGTGCTCCATACTGGATGTGCAGTTCACACAGCCCTCGGTTCAAAAAGCACTCATTTCTCTGGACATTCACAAGTCGAGTGGACCTGAAAATCCCTCCAATTGAGCTGATGACGTGTGATCCCGAGTTGGCACCGGTTCTAAAGTGTCCTTTCCGGTGTTCCTACTCCCTAGGCGTAGTCTCGAATTCACGGAAGACGGCTTTCGTCCACCCGATCCCTAAAAAAGGCGACGGCTCAGACCCGTCTAAGTACAAGCCTATCGCCATCACCTCCTTGTTCTCCAAAATAATGGAATCCATTATAAACTGCCAGCTCATACGGTACCTTGAGGACCACCAGCTGATTAGTGATCACCAATACGGTTTTCGTTGGGATCGATCAATTGGTGATCTTGTGGTTGACTTGACTTATAGATGGGCGGAGGTAGTAGAGTCCAAGGGAGAAGCAGAAAGAAGAATGCAGAAGAGAAGTTAGTTTGGATATTGCGAAGGCCTTCGATCGGGTTTGGCACAAAGCGCTTCTTTCGAAGCTCTCTTCCTATGGGCTTCCCCGAGAAATTGTACAATTGTATCACCAGCTTTCTTGCAGATCGGAGCATTTCCTCAGTTTCAAAGCACTCTCCTTATTGCCTCAGCCAGTATCGGAATCCTCGGCGTCGACATATCGAGATATGTGCAATTCCGTGTTCACTTGGAAGAGAAGGCCAAATTGGAATCTAAAAAGCTTGGCGCGTTCACCAGAGCGGGACAGTATTTCATGCCAGCATTACACCTGCCACTACAAGGTGCAGGTTCGGCCTCACATGGTATACTGTTTCCATCTATGGGCTGAGGCTCCCCAGGGCTTTATTAAAAAATATAAAGTTGTTTGGTAACAACAAAATGGTTTCCTTTAAGTTTTTTTTTCAGAAAGTTTTCTTTTTAAAAAAAATCTGACGCCGCCGCCGCCGAGGAAATTTTGAGGCCACGCCGCCGCCGTGGAATTGGCCTTCGGCGCTCATATCTAATATACATACAGGTCAACCTAATATTAAAGCGTGTTAAGAGATACATACGGATATTGAACATTCATGTTTTTTGGCCCCCTCACAGGATTCCAGGCAGATACAGGTGACTTGTTAGCAAGCATTAACCCTGCCACTGCTATATACAACCCATACTCTTGACAATATTTTTCCTAAAAATTTATAATAATTAAAACAAGATAATTTAAGTTTAACGGAAATAATTTTGGAAATTAAATATATGTAAAACAATCATTTTTGGCCCTAATTGGCATCGTGCTCATTTCATTAAGTCTAGACTGTCTAACTTTGAGTATAATCTTGAGTTTTTTTTTATAGGATAAGGGTGTTAAACGAGCACACAGTCCTCCTGATGGTAAGTAGTTGCTGTGGCCCATAGATATCTACATCTATCCTAGACTACAAATCAAAATGCAGATGTGTTGTCACCCGTGAGGACT